CACACACATATGACTCCTTACACTCAGTCGCTGTTTCTGCCACTATTTTCATTCCTGAATTACTACGACTACTTGTCTTCGGTAAAGCCCCCTGCACACCGGGACCTCCTCCTTCAACCTGTATATATGTCTGTATGTAATTCTTTCTCGCGGCTCAGTTAAACGCCCAAGTCACAAGGGCTGTAATGTCCCCCCAAAACCCCCCTCGCCCCGGCAGCCCCCCAAAGAGCCCCCCGGGGCCCCGCCTGGCTCACTTGCATCCTGACGGGTAACGCCTGGATGAGGCCCATCAGCACCCAGGGTTCCAGACCATTCAGGCGGTGCAGCTGCCAGGCATCGTCCAGGAGGCCTGTGTGCCGCGTAAACAGAAGGTAACAGGAGGTGTGTGTGCGAGCATGTGCTTGAGCGTGATTCGCTGATGTATCAACTGAGCCGCGGGGCGGAAGTGCGGGAACGGGAATATGTGTGTATGTGGGGGTTGGGGAGGGGAACGGGGGGTTGAGGGTTTGGGAGAAAGACGAACCACGAACGAGTGAAACCCGTTCTTGAAGGCGGCGACCTCGGGATGATGTAATGAAGACGACCGCGGAAACCTACCTACCTACCTACCTAGCCTCCAAGACTAAAGTAAGAGCGGAAGAAAAGGGGTTGGGGGGGGGGCCCGCAGCGCTGTCTGATTGCGCAGGTTAATCGCCATGTTATTCCAGGAGCCCTTGAGCCAGTCCGCCGCTAAGTCACTACTGGCGGTGTGGGTGTGTACGGGTGGCTCGTATATATGTATGTATGTATGTTGGTAAGGCGGCGCCAGTGAAGGACGCCGGAGCAGGGTTCCTGAATTCGTACCTGCTAAATCGGCCGATGAAATGACCCGTGGGTCAGTCGCCGCTGCTGCTAGTTTGCGCCACACCTCCTCGCTGTAGTTGGCGCGGTAGTAGCCGTACCGGCCGGGATTTATCACGACGTACGACACATTGGTGGGCAGCGGTACGGCGGCGCTACATGAATTGAAGGGTGCCCATGACATAGTGGTGGCACCCTGAAGAGGTGTAGGTAATGGTGGTGGTAGTGGGGGTGGAGGTGGGGGGTGGAGGTGGAGGTGGTGGTGTGGCACGAAACGGAGGCGGGACGTTACGACCGGGTGAGAAGGGGGTCAGCGAACAGGCGAGGTCGCAATGGAGGAGTGTGAGTGAGTGAGTGAACCGCAGCGCCGCACGTGATGCCCCATGCCCTTCGCCCCCCTCCCAGAAGCACATACCCCTCTCTTCCTGCCGCCCCCCAGCAGCCCTCAAAACACACTTAACTGCACATACTGCAATTTGTTTTAAACTCCTTATACACGATACTTAAAACCTAAGCTCGTTGGTCTTTGTTAACTAATCAACGGAACGAAAGGACAAAGGCCAAGGGGGTGTGTTTCTTAAAGCTAAGCACTCTCTCTCTCTCTCTGAAACAAAACCTCCTTAAAAGCAAACCTTAGAACTAAAACCCGGCAAGAAGTTTTTCACCTCTGGCAGGAAGCTCAGCGGGATCCACCACTGCGCCGACCCCTCTGGCCCCGCCGTGTCGTTACACGGCGCCCCGGTGACAGAGGACTGCGACACGGCCAGGTAGGAGGCCGCGGGGGTGTCGGTTGAGTTCGTTGACGACGCCGTGGCGGCGTCCAGGCCGCCGGCCGAAGGCAGTACGACAGGTGTGCCTGGGTTTTGAGCCTCCAGGGAGACTTGTACGACGGGATAGTTGGGGGAATGGGTCCAGGAGCGCATCCAGGAGCTGAAGGGTAGTCCTGCGTGGTTTCGGAGGTTCATGGGGGAGGGTGGTGGGGCGGGCAGTGTGCGAGCGTCAAGGGCTGGTGGGAACAGCGCGGAATGTCGTGCGCGGGGATGGTGGTGGTTGGTACGGGTCTGTTGGTACGGCGCAGCCTGGGGGAGTATCTACCCCCTCTCCGCAGTGGCATTTAAGCACTCCGATGCCCAAGCAACACCCGCGAGGCGAGCTGCGGTGATAAGTTGCATGCAACAGCAGGGAAATGGGTTGAGGGGGGCCCCGGGAGGCGGTACGGCTCGTTGCACCTGTTTTTAACGGGTCTGGTCTTCCCCTTCCCCGGTCAGCCCCCCCCTTCCTAAAAGCTCCCCAAAAGTCTCTTTATCCTACCCAAACGCAACTGCCGTCGTCCTTGTATTTTCCCTACACCCTACTCTCTCTTCCCGCCCGCAATCCGGCCCGCGGACACGCCTGTGACGTCCTCAAACGAGCTCCACAACATCTCAGCTGTCGTACTGCTGTTGGCGTACTGCAGTAGGTAGCTGTGGAGGACCTCAAGGAAGGGGTCTGCCCCGAAGGCGGACGAGTTGAACACCGGTGAGGATGGCGGCGGCGGCGGTGCCATCGCCGGCGATGATTGATTGATTGGCGACGGCGACGGCGACGGCGACGGCGGCGGCGGCAGTGGCGGTGGCTGCTCCTGCTGTAGTAGGTGGCGGCGACGGAGGTTCTGTACGGCACCGTTGGTCAACAGATTGCCGTCCAGGAAGGCGCGCACCATTCGAAGCACAGCACCGCCCTGACGTGCACACGACACAGTAAGGCAATTCGGTGGCGGTTGGCGGCGGTTGGTGGCGGTTGATGGCAGTTCGTAATGCTTAGAAGTGGTTAATGGAGCAGATTAATGGCGGATTTAATGTTATTTTCGTTGTGTTTTAATGTTGAACTTTCGGTGTGGTGATGACACCTTTGTGACCGTTGTGGGTGAAGGCTTGCCAAAGTGCCGCCGTACCCACGAGTAACTGAATGTACGGCTCACAGGTCAGCACAGTAACGCACTTGCAGATGGCCGCGTACATAAGCTCTGTCATCGCTGTGCCACCACAACCCCACGCCGCGACAGTAGCCCCATGCCCGTACACCCTCCCGTGCATCTCGCCCTACCTTTTCATAGCTAATGTCGTCAAACATCGCCTCAATGTCAGCCACTGACGTCAGTGGAGCAGCAGCGCTCAGAGCGTGTACGGACGGCAGCACGTCGTACGACAACGCAGTCGCCGTCATGCTGGTGTACGATAATTGATAAAAACCGTACTGCGGCCGGAACGCGTCGACTCCCATAATCTCTAGGTACGACGCGAAACCCTCATTAAGCCAGAGCTCCTCCCATTGCGCCATAGTCACTAAATCTCCGAACCTGCATGGCCCCGGGAAAGGGCGGGGCAGGGGACTGAAAAAAGGCCCTGCAAAATGCACTACTAACTGGCCACCGGGCGGTCTCCCCCGGAGGAGAGGTAAGGAATCAATGACACAATCGCACCCATACATGCACCCACCCGCATGTGTATTTGCACACGCACACGGCGCACAATCGCGCACTCGTACGCGCGCGCGCACGCGACTCATGGCGTCACCCATGACCTGCTCACCAGCAGCCCTAGTGGGCCCCAGGCCCCGGGAAAACAGCTGTACATACATACATAGTGGCTGCGTAGAGTGTTGGCAGTCTGAGTCGGGGTCGGGAGCACACAAGACTAACCGACTTGTGCTGTGCGCTCCCGACCCTTGCGCTGTGTTTCGGCTTCGGCCCCCGGCTCTCGCGGCCCACAGTGTAATCTAAGTCATACATACATACATACATACATACATACATACATACATACATACATACATACATACATACATACATACATACATACCATTGATGGGAGATCTCGTGGCTCACGGTGGCGGCAATGGCGATCTCGCTGCCCACGTCGAGATCTGAATCCGAATCGGCCTTCAGTAACAACTTCTCCTCCCTGCAGCAGCAGCAGCAGCAACAAGGACAGCAGCAACGACAGCAGCAACAACAACAACGACAACACCGGTTGCAAGGATTTGCGGAAAAGCAGGGTACAGGGTAGAGGGTCATCAGCATCTCAGCATCTCCGTACCATCAGTGCCGTCGCCAGGGGAACGAGAGGACGACTATACACACACACACACACACACACACACACACACGCTCGCAGCCATGCACACACGCACTCGCAGCCATGCACGACCAAACCCACCCACCTGAAGAATATACATCCAAAGTTCTCCATAGCGCCCGCCTGGAAGTCCGGCAGGGCCACAAGGTCCAATTTAGGCAAGGGGTACGACATGTTAAACGCCGCCTCGTACGTCTGTACGGCAACACACGCCGCCTCCAGGGCCACGTCCAGTTGGTTTATCCTAGCCAGCGGCGGATCGCATGTGTGTGTGTGTGGTGTGTGTCCGGGGGGGGAGGGGAGAGAGAGAGGCGAGGGTTGAGAGGCTGGTTATGGCAGGTACCAGCACCCGCAGCGAGGACGGGGAAATGCAGAACGCAGATCGTCAACTCCCCCCCCTCCCCCGACACACGCACACACACACACAGAGCGGCCACGCGCAGGAGGCGGGGCTGGCTCCTGCACCCTGGCACATCACAACATCTGTCGCCCCTATCGCCTCTTCGCACACCCTGCTTCGGCCCTCAAACGCACACCCTGCTTCGGCCCTCAAACGCACACATACACACACACGTCGCTTTCCCCCCCTTCCCCATCACGCACACACTCACACGCACTCGGTGGAACACTTCCTCCGGTTGCATGTGTGCCATTTCCTTCCCGTAGCTTTTTCAGATCCATTAAACCCTCTCCCCGGCACACGCATACATACACACACACATCACACGGCTCAGATCATCAAAGTACACGCATACACACCGACACACACCCCACCACGGCACCTGAACCCCACCCGCCCCTTCCACCCGCCCCTTCTTCACTCACTTGCCCTCAGTCGCCCAAACGGACACGGGGGTCGACTTGCTGTCGTTGCAAGGCCCCTGCTTCCCCTCCAAAGCCCCCACGGTGAAAGCCAACAGGTAGGTGCTCATGGGGGGTGTACGGGAAAACACCGACAGCGCCCGTCCCGACGCAGTGACTTGCGATGGCTGGTCCGGGCTTGGCGGCATGTTGGACAGCACTGCCAAACCTGGTGGAGTCTCCAGGGTGAGGTTGAAACTAGCCTGCACGCGCCGTACGGTCGTACGAACGTGGGGGCGGGGGGGGGAGGAGCTAGGATTGTGAAAGAGGGGACGGGACTTTGCGGGGTAACGGGCTGACGCGCTTCGGGGTCAGAACAAGCGAAGCAGTGAAGCATCCTGGCAGCGGGGACGAACACGGTCACAAAACACAAAGCAACAACACAACAAAAGGACAGCGACAGCGACAGCGACATCTGCAAGAGGGAGTGTAAAAGCGACGGCGGTAATGTGCTCAACGGTAAGATCAGCAATGGCAGGAGGGCAAAAGGGCTCGGCGACAGGGCGGCCAAGCAGCAGTCGCAGCTGCAGCCTCAGCAGCCGTAGCAATGGTGTGTGTGTGTGGGGGGGGAGGCAGTGGTCCATGAGTTCCAAAGGGGGGCGAGATTCTTTGTTCGACGTCTCCTGTCCAGTAAGCATTTCACCTCCCTACGCTCAGCCCGTACAATACGCCACATGCCACCCACCCAACCCCTTTCCCCCACTGCCTCCGCCCCCACCGCCCCACCTTCACCCTCGGCTCGTCAAAGCATGGGAAGGCCTTGCGTGCTGACGCAGATTCGAACTGGGTGGCCACCAGCGCGTGTTGCTTGCCATCAGCCCCTGAATTTGAAGGGGGTTGGAGTCGTCGTGAGGTGGACAAAGATTACGGCACCAGCACCACCAGCAGCAGCAGCAGCACCAACACCAACAAATGGCCCCGGAGAGAGAGATCCGACCCGAACAAACCCGACAGTGACTCCTACACCCTACCTACCCTGCTCCGAAGTATTAAAATGTCATGCAGCATTCGTAAAGAGACAATTCTAACAATTATGTCCCCTTGGGACAAAAAACATTCCAATTAGCAAATTCGCATTTTGGATCCTCTTCCTACCTACCCTACCTACCCTACCTACCCTGGTATACGGTCCGGTAGAGCCCATCCAGACCGTACGACAGATTGTAGGCGAAGTCAATGCTGAGGTGGCCCAGTGACTGTACGGAGCCGTTGAGGGGGGCGCTGCTGCTGCTGCTGCCGCTGCTGCTGCCGCTGCTGAGGGTAGCGGGCAGGGGCGACTCGAACATGAGGGTCGCTGTCTGGTCCCGCTGGGAAGTCACGTTACCTGGGGGCAGAGGGGCCGCCCGTGTAGGGGGGTTGGGCGAAGGCGCGGGTGTGGGGGTGGAGAGGATTATTGGGAAGCAACGGCAATGCGTTTGTAAAACCCAACCCTCCAGGGCGCATCTGGACCGGCCATGCAACAAAGCCCTCGAATTGGCTGCTGCCGCAGCTGCGGCGCCGACGCCGCTAGCTAGGTTGGCCGGCAAGGGCCCTCCGGCAAGGGCCCTCCGGCAAACGCCCACTTCCCGGCGCTATGAAAAGCGCCCTGAGCCCCCGGTACACACACACGTACGCGTACCCCTCCACTCCTGGCCGTTCCAGCGGTACGATATGTTGTACACCTCCATGCCGACGGCGTTGAGCACGAGGCATTGAGTGTCTTCCAGCAGTGTGATGCTGATGTTGACTGACCCGAGCACGTGATCTGGACCCAGGCGGGATAGTATGCTGGCGGCGTTGATGGCGGCGCCGCCGTCGGGATTCGCGTCGCGCAACATTCGGCGACCTGCCCCGCCGTCACCGCCGCCGCCCCCGCCGCTCCCAGCACCCCCCGTCCCTTCCTGCACGGCGCTTTGACCTGGGTGAGGGTCAAAGTAGATTCCTAGCTTAAGATCGTAGTGCTCGGGCCTGACGTCGTCGGAGAGCTGGCTGCCGTTGAAGGTGCAGAAAAAGCCGACGGGGAGCGGCGGTGGAGGGGCCGGTGGTGACGGCGGCATTGGCGGCGGTGGTGGCGGTGCCGGTGGCGGTGGGGGGGGTGGGGGTGGGGTTGGCGGCGGCGAAGGTGGACCTGGTGACGGCGGCGACGGAGGGGTGGGTCCGGGAGAGGGTGGCCACGGCGAAGGCTGTAGAGGCGGCGGCAGCGGTGGCTGCGGCTGTGGCGATGGCGGCAACGGCGGCTGCGGCGGCTGCGGTGGCGGCGATGGCGGCAACGGCGGCTGTGGCGGCTGCGGTGGCGAGGGCGGTGGTAGCGGCGGCTGCGGCGGCTGCGGTGGCGAGGGCGGTGGTAGCGGCGGCGAAGGTGTGTGCGCTAGCAAGTAACCCTGGTGTTGCGTGAGAGCCATACGCACGAGCAATACGATCATTAGTACCACCAGCAGGAGGTTGAAGCAGCAGCACCCGGCGATGTAGACACGCTTTCTGGGCCGCGGCTGCTGCCGCCACCAGAGCCGCCATCTGGTTGGCAACCGACGCGCCAGCCAAGATACGTCGACTCCACAGCACCATATGCGCTGAATCTTACGGAGCAGCTCCTTGTCGATGATGTCGTCAGGAATCAAATGGTCAGATTCGCTAGGCATATCATCGAGCTGGGGTGGAAAGGGGCCCCCTCCCCCTTGGCCGCCCTCCGAGCTGTAGGTGGAGGCGTGGTGGCGCTTGGTGCTCACAGGCAGCTCGACTTCTGGTCCGGCTGGGCTAGGTTGGCCCTGACCGCGGTCCATAAGGCGGTATATGCCCGTCGACATGCTACGAGCAGTCTTGCCCGGTGACCCAGTCAAACTTCGAGGGGTGCGCTAGGGGGTTGGAGAACGGGTCGGCGGTTACTGCCGGTGCGGCTGCAGCTTTGGCACCTGGCGAAGTGGATCCTGGCGAGTTTGCGTGTTGAGGCCCTCGAAATCGTTGGAGCTGACCCGTTTTGCGCCGGATGAGCCAAATAATCCCCGAAACTATATTTGAAAGCACCGGAAGTGGCAACCTAACAAGCACGTAAATCACTGCAAGATTGTAAATTGGGATTTCCGGTAAGGATGGCTCAGTCACGATAGCAACGTGGTCAAGGGAGCAGTTGTCCCCTATATGAAAGAGGGAAGCATCTTTGTCTTGCCGCCACTGTGATTAAATGTGCACCGATGTGTCGTCCCGGAAGTCACCTTCCGAAACCATCGGCTGCTTCGTACAACCGAGCGAAAACAAGCTGCTGCTCATTTTAACTAAAATATATAAAAGCTTTGATCACGTACTCCTTACACCAGGCTCGGGCTTCGTACAAGAAAACAATTATCCAGACACAATACAAGTTCGCTGGTTGATTAGCTCCTTATTTCTTTGAAAGTTCTTTGTCCTACTATTGCTTAAAATATGTTCTCTTTCCTTTTCCTTTTTCACCTTTGCCAGGGTGTTTCCATTTCGCGGAGCACTAACAATGAGTTCAAAAACCCTCGCTCCGCAAATCACCCATGCGATAAAGTATTACAGGGTATATCCACTTGGCTGAACACTAACATGAAGTTCCAAAAATCTCGCACATGGCACAGCGAATCACCCAAGGGATAAGGTGCTAGTTCATTACTGTAATAGAAAATAAAAATCTTCAAAAATTTTGCTTAAAGGGGCCCCGTACGCGGAAAGCCGGGCCCACAGGCAACGTCTCGTACAGTCTACATTAGTGGCGCAATAGTTATCAAGGCCAGACCTGTTGATAACTTTTTTTAATCTGGAGATTAACTTCCGAGCAGGAAAATTCTTAGTCAGACATTTTCCTTCTTCAAGGTATTTTCCTTTATCCATAATCGCAGTAGTCCGGGGCCAGACGTGCCATGGCGAGTGGTACTTACGGACGCTATGTGGATTATCAATGACAGTATTAACTAAACGCTCAAACTGGTTAATGTAACCAGAAAGAGCACTCAAAAAAGCGTCATGGCCTGGCCCAGCTGGCCCGTTGATGGCTAGGAAGGCCAACAGGGCCGCGGCCACAATCTGAACACAGTAATAGGACCCGGGAGGTGTCCCGCGCTTTGCTGGTCTTAACACTCTATATTCGCCCACTCTTACTATTACATTGGCTTGGTGCCTTAATAGCAACATGTCGTATGGTTCCGAGGCGCTTAGTGGAAACACCTGTTTACTAGCCACACACTAAGACCACACTAAAGATAAATCTTGGAAAGTTAATGTTTGGCCAAGTGGAATCACCCTGGCGGTTCATGAGCTTTCGGGTTCATCTGAATCGTACGAGCTCGCTGAAGCTTGTGTGTGTGTGTGTGTCTGTGTGTGTGTCTGTGTGTGTGTGTGTGTGTGTCTGTGTGTGTGTGTCTGTGTGTGTGTGTGTGTGTGTGTGTGTCTGTGCGTGTGTGTGTGTGTGTGTGTGTGTGTGTGTGTGTGTGTGTGTGTGTGTGATACATGATCGCAGGGTGCGTTCCCCCTACCTGCAAACCGCCAAATACGAGCCGGGGGCTCAAGGGCTGCCAGATCGCCTATAAGCACCATCCTACCTCGCACTTCAAACAAAGAAGTGATAAGGGATACTAACGACCAAAGGGAACGATAGAGTTGCGGCGGGACCATATACGTTCCAGCATCCTTGCCAGGCGTTCAGGTTCCCAGTTCATAGCGTCCTTCATATGCTCGAAGCGTGGGAAATCCATATCAGATCTGATTTTGTCGTACACCGGACAGTCCAGCAAAATGTGCTTTTCATCCTGGATATAGCTATCAGTGCCGCAGCAGGGGCATACTCGCTCCTCTCTAGGTTACGCGCTCTGTTTGCCGCCAATGCCCAACAGCAAAGCCTAAACTGCATAAGCTTGCGATTCGCTGAACGCGGGATAAACATTCCATCCATCCATCCATCCATCCATCCATGCTGCTTTCTTTTCCATCTAGCAGATCATGCAATGAAAGTATTGTTCATCACTAGTATGTCAGAGTCGCAGAGGACTGTCCTCAACACCCTCAGGGCAAGAGATTGCCGAAGTTCCATTCTGTGCCCCTGTCGCCCATGACCTGGATCCTAGGGGTTATGAGCTAGAGTCTGAGTGGCTCGCGCCATACCTAGGAGGGGGACAGGACACTACAGCTGCCAATGGCCACACCACTGCAAAGGGGACAAACACGCTGACTGTGCGGCAACGCCCACCGCCTTCGCCGGGGACCAAGAAGACAAATCATTAGACGCACAGACGCAGCAACACAAAGCGCGACACGATCCAGTCACGCACGACGGACTGAACACTAGAGCACCGAAACTGGCGGCAAAGATAAGTTGCCCCAGAAGACAGTTGCCCCACATCACGGCAGCCGAAAAAGGCAACGGACCGCACTAGAGCCCAGTACACAGTTTCATCATGGGGCGCAGATGCAGTACATTACCAGCTTATCACCTTACGCCTATTTCATGCGCAGTTTTTTGTACAGTGGCACGTGAGCAATCCGGGGGTGGGGAACCGGGCAGAGGATAGGGCAGGAAGCCTCGGGTTAGGTTTCGCGAGTTGAAAAGTAATCCAGAATTTTTTGGTTATATATAACGGATGAAAATGCCACCCTGATGGCAAAGCATTTCCCCTCCGATTTGAAACTAAAACTTCAGCAATGACTCCCAATGTCTGCTGTACATGTACCTCTGATTAGTTTAACCTGTGCATCCAGCGCCATTCAATCATACTTTACTATACTAGTAACTAAACCTGCATTTTGGTATCTAACAATCCAAGGTTTTAAATGAACAAACGTGCACTCAGCGATTTGTTTTTCTTTTGACCTCAATGGCAGAACCTACGGCTGTCCTAGGACCTGATGGTCTAGAGATTAAGCGCTTGGTTGGGCGAGGAGCATTTGCACAAGGTACAATAGCAAACCCTTTGCCATGCGTCTACTGTGCTTACTCAACTCTGCTGATCAGGACCCTCTGCTCCTCTGCTCTTCAAACTCGGCAGTTTTTGAGGCAACTTATAACGGGCGTGGCTGTGCTCTCAAGGTCTTTGCGCCGGCTGGCCTGCAGGGTCAACCCCCTCCTCCTGCCTACGAGAGGCTCTTCCTCTCGGAAGCCGCGCTCTGCAGCACGATTAAGCACAGGTGAGCTCACAAAATTAAGGGTCTTTCCATGAGCCTGGGGCGGCGATGATAAGCTGCCCGCTAGCTGCCCATAAACGCACAAAGGCTGCCGAAGGCTCGCGAGTTGCAAAATTACATTGACCAGTTTGGCCCCACTTCGATTCAGGCATTTGGTTGAAAGTTATGGAGTTATCCGCATCCCAGCTAGACATCGAGGCGTTCCCGGACTGGATTCCCCAACCTGGGCGATGCTGCTGCAGTTTTGTGAGGTAAAAACTGAAGTTTAGGGCAGCACTGTCTTTCCATACTTCGAGCTAAATTTTTCATAAGCTGTAAACACCTATTCCTCGTTTTCTTTTTCCTCCTTCTTTCCGTTTAAAGCGCGCCCTCGCGCCTCGCCTGTGTAGCCTCTGTGTCTCTGCCAGCTATTCACCTTCATACGTGCCAGATAGTATCAGATGGTATACCAGCTCTCGCCGTCCACACGTTCACATTGCAGGGGGGTTCGCTCAGAGACAAAGTCGTGGGTGCAATGGCACTGCGACGCCAGTACAGCTCCATCCAGGGGCTGGAGTGGCTGCGGGGCGTCGCTGAAGCCCTAGATACCCTCCATAAGGCCACACCCCCCATAATCCACAGAGACATCAAGGTATGAAGCCAAAGCCAAGGCCGGCGCCAAAGCCATTATAACACCTTGCAGTGCGGTACGTCATGCCATGCGGCACTTGGACTCCGGCAAGGTTCGGTGGGTTTGGAAAGTGGCGGAACAAGCCTGCCAAGCAGACGTTTAGTCTGTCGCGCCCTTACCCAAGCCGCTTTTTAATCCGTTCCCTCTGCCCCGCCTTTCATGCGCTGTTGGATTCAAATCACTTCATCAGGCAGTTTTACAACTAGTCGACTCCAAAAATCGACCCTGAACGCCTCGCAGGCTGACAATGTGATGCTCAAAAAGGAGGCGGATGGGCAACTCATCACAAAGCTCGGGGATATGGGACTCCACGTGGTGAGTTCTGTAGCTCAACGGCAAAGAAAAATATCGCGTCCAAGTATCCGTGAACGCAATTCATGCCCGTGTATCCATAAATTAAAATCACATACCTGTGTTCCCTATTGATCTTGAGGATATTCAAGGTTTGAGCTTGTTACCCCAGAGACACGCTCAACACGCTGAATGTATCCCAGCCCCTATCCGGCCATCCCGACTTGCACGACCGCACGTTTCTGTCTCTCTAGACGCTCGTGGACAATCGGTCCGCGATGCTGCGGCGCCGTGGCGCACCTCTACCATCCTCAGACGCCAGCAGCAGCCGGTCATCCTTTGTCGCGATTGTGCCGTCAAAGGCTTGGGAGCCCGGCGCCGGCAGCGTTGATGCAGCTGCAGCCGCAGCCATAGCCGTCGCTGACTGCGTCTCTCTTGGCTCCCCGGACGCATGGGGGCCCCTCACGGCTAGCCAGTCCGAGGCTTTCACGGCATCATCGTCGACTGCGGATCGGCCTGAGGGGTGCACGGAGGCGGCGGCAGCGGGGCCCGGGGATTCTCTTCCTGGTCTCGAGAACTGCGAGAAGAGTGGGGACGACGCAAAAATCATATCCGCCGGAAACCTCCGTTTCAGCGACACCGGTGACGGCGACAGCAGCGCTGGCCATGGCGGTGGCCTTTTTGGCGGACACAGCGCGCCGCCCACAGCAGCTGCTGCGGTTCGCACTCGAAGCTGCGATAGCATCGTGGCCACTGGCAACGTCAGTTTCAAGTCCAAGGGGCTGCACGGCAGCTCAGAGAGCAACGGGACAGGGCTGTCCAGTGGCAGCTGCCGGGCTTCCGTGAATCCGTGCACTTCGAGTGCGTATACGAGCGCCTTGACGATCGGGTGCGGCGTCGCCGCGGCGGCACCTACGCGGTCGGCTCTCTCGGCAGCCGCCTGCGGTCCGACATCCGCGCCTTGGAGTCGGGGACGTGCGGCACTAACCCCGGCGGTGGCGGGGGCGGCGGGTTGCGACGACGCTGGCGGCGGTGACGTTGGCTGCAAGTCAACGATGGATATGTTTGTGGCCCGTTCGCAAGCAGCAACAGAAGCAGCAGCAGCAGCAAACACGGCCACAGCAGCCAACCTGCCGGTGGCGGGGCTTGAGCGACAGCCGTCGGCGTCACCCATGGATTCTATGCTGCAACCCGGCACAGCAGCGGATGACTCGATGCTGCTGGTGCAGCGCAATCCTAGCGTTCAGGTTGAGGGCCGTTTTAGGGGATTCCGTAAGCTACCTCGTTTTCCTACTAGCCCGATGATTCGGATGCCGTCGCGTTTGATGAACAGCACGGGGAACAGTTTTGCAACGCGCAGCACCAGCGGGCGGCGCTGCACGGGTCCCGCCGTTCAGACGGGGACCAGACACATGTACGCACCCGTGCCGCGGGTCTCAAAGCTTTCACGTGCCGTGACGCCAACAGCGCTGGCAGCAGCGGCGATAGTTGCGGCATCAGCAGCGGCGGCGACGGCCAGTCGGTCAGGCGGCAGTGACAGAGCTGCTGGCTGGCCCTCCTCTCCGACTCCTCCGTCATCCGAGTCGATGTCCCAGCCGCCCTCTGCAGTCGCGGTACGTGTGCCTGTTGCGGCAACTGCCATCACTGAAACCGCTGGCGGCGGCGGCGGCGGCGCTTGTAAGCCGGCTGTAGCACAGCAGCAACAGCAGCAGCTGCGGCGGCGTACAACCCTAGGCCAAAGTTCCCCCCTCGTAAGGATTGGCCTAATGCACGAACGGGGTTTCATTGACCTCTTCAAGCGTGGCGATGCGGCCAACGGCAGCGGCTGGCCGGCCTTGACCGACGCCAGCGACAGGGGCCGAATACGGCGATCGCAGACCGCCGGCGGGGACAGGCTGACGGCGGGCTCGAATCGCCGCGGCGTGGCTGGTTGCACGTCATGCCAGCGGTCCCTCGGTCGCTCTGCCTCCTCCTCTCTTCATGCACCGGCACAGCCGCCCCGCCCGCCGGGTGTTCACCACGGCTTGCGCCAGGGCGCTCGACAAAGCCACGGCAGCGGCTACCAGAGTTTTAGGAACAGCGCTGCGTGCAGTACGTTTTTGGGTGTAGGGCTCTCCCCAAGCTGCTCTGGGATCGGTCCCCGTCTCACCATGGCCGACGACGACGACCCTTCCGGCGACGACGGCGGCGGCTTTGACGCTGATGGCGGCTCCGATGGCGGCTTCGATGGCGGCTCCGATGGCGGCTCCGATGGCGGCAGCGCGACGTGTCGGTTTTGTCCAGAGTTGGAGTCCCTGATGGAAGTGTCTGTTCCGTCTCTTAGCGATCACATGCGGCGCATTGAGAGCATTCGGGCGCTGCTACGGGCGCCGGATGGCAGCCAGTTGCCGCAGCAGGAGGGCTTTGAGTGGGTGTTTGGACTGACGGGTCACGCCGGCTCCTTCATGTATATGGTGAGTTTCGCTGCGGCCTTAATTGGCCTTCCAGGGGCGCTTTCTCCACGTCGTACACGATGAAAACGGTAGCGTGGATTTTCAGGCATGTCGAAACCTAGCGCGATGCTACTGCCCCTTCGTTTTTCCCTTTCGCAGCCCCCTGAGATATATCGTGGAGAGCCCTACAATGAAAAGGTAAGAAGTTGTTGTTGCTGTTGCCATTGCTGTACACGGGGTGTTACACTGAGGATGGCTCGTCCTGAGTAAGGACGAGAACCGTCGGGGGTCCTGACCGGAACGAAACGCAGTGAAGGGGCTGGCGCGCGGCTCCAGGTCCTTCTGTTCCTCCCCGCGCCTCCCTCACTCCCTCACTCACACCAGCCGGGGCGCTCTCCCAGCCCCTGGCTAGGCAACACAGCGGCGCAGAATACTGCAGACTGGGGCTGCTGCTGCTGCTGCTGCTGCTGCTGCTACGGCAAGCGCCACGGAGTAGTGCTTGTCCCGAGCCTCGGAACTAGTTTGTTTATATCGGAAGGCCAATCAGCACCCAGTCCAGTAGTTTTTAATGCGGCGTGTTACCCACGTTCTCTCCTCCCCCATTTTCCCACAGCACTCCGCTGCACTCCCCTCCCCTCTGCGCTGCGCTTCTCACCCTGCTCCGCCCCAGCACTCTGTCCTCCCCCAGTCGCGGTCCTGCACGGCCCCCTCCCTCCCCTCAACTCCCCTCCAACCTTCAACTTAGGTTGATACGTTTAGCTTTGGGTGCCTGGCATACGAGGTGCTAGCCCGGGAGTTGCTGTTGATCGCCTTCATTAACACCTCGCGGGGCGCCACCATAGGCGTCAAGCGGCCCGTGGATTATGCCCGCAGGGTGAGGAGTGTTCCGTTGCTATACATCGTACATAATTAGGGCGTGCCGTGCGGGGCGGCGACGGCTGTAGCGGCCCGAGAGAATGCTGCTCAGCGCACGTCCATTTTAATCACTGTTGCCACTGCCGCTGCCCTAGCCGCTGTCGCTGCCGCTGATGCTGCAGGTCTCTGAGGGCTATCGTCCTCCACGGCCTGAGCGGAAAGTGAGCGAGGAGCAGTGGACCCTGGTGAGTCGATGCTGGCACCAAGATCCATGTGAGCGGCCCAGCATGACGGAGGTACTGCAGATGCTCGGCGCGCTGCTGATCAAGGTACGGCACCGTACGGCGTGCACGCACGCACCGATGCTCACAGGGCGCTGCTCATGGACGTATGTTTCCCAAAAACCTAGAACTCTTCCGCTTTTCCACACGCCATTTTGTGTGAGATGGCTAGTTCAATTTTCGCACCATACGCTGATTTAGGATAGTGTGCCATGGGGTGAGTACAGTTGCAGCCGATAATTTGGATTTTGATTAAGTGTAACGCCACGGACTCACGGAGTCCTACGCGCTGAATCCCTCACCCTGCAGGCGCGCGCGCGGGAATGCGGGATTAGTCTGGAGCCACAGCAGCCTCAGGCTGCTCAATCCCAGAAAGCGTCGCACGACTGGCAAGATATGAGTCGCGGTCAGCTGCAGGAACTGCAGCCTTCATGTGGAGTCTGCGGTTGTCTTATTAGTTGAGCCGTGCCGTGGTTGACCACTCGCTGGGCTAAGCGTTCCGGCGGGTGTGCTCGAGACAGACCGACGACGTGTCTATCCCGCGGTGTTCATCCTTCCCAATTGTGTAGATTATGTAGGGAGCGTTGCTTCTGCTAGTAGTAGGACTCGAACGACTCCTTTCTTGAGATTTATCCTGAGACTCAACAAGCACAGATGACGTGTTGTGTGTCGTACACGCACGGCTATTCATGTTTTGTGTTCCCATGGCTGCGTTAAGAGCTATTTGTGTGAAGATATGCCGCGTGAGGTATCTACACTAATAGCGCAGATCGACGCAGAGCGGCTGTGATGCTGTTACGTTTAGGTGCTGATGTGCTGTGGTCAGGCATGCCCCGCATGTCCGTGCCTTGGTCCCTGAATTGAGTCTGCCAGGGCGGTCTTTCCCGCCATATGGCGCTTTATTGCGGACCATTCCATTCATTGCAGAAAGGGTAGCTATCGGTAACAAGGGGGCTGCAAAGTGATCCTTGCACATTACCGGTAACTTGTCATTTTAGAGCTATTGCTTTTAGTGTAGATCCTGCGTCTTTGCTGGACCCTGGTACCGCGTACCAGGGTGGCGTACCTTGGTGGTGTTAACGGAGAAACTCGCATGTTGCTTCAGTAGTTACGTTTAGTATTCTGGGTTCTTTTGCTTCTTTTGTTGTACCGCTTTGTAACGACACACGGCCAACCTGAGCATCCCGGGTTACGCCTTTGCTGTGTTACACGCTTGAATCTCATAAGTTCCGGCTGCCTTGGACTTTGTCAATTTCATACGACACTGATCTTGGATGGGGTTTTCCTGATGTCTTATTAGTCGGGAGGAGAGACTGCGATGCACAGGACGAACACCACAGCTCATAGAAGTCTGAACTGTAAGGAAGCCACTGCCACATCCATTACAAGCAGGACAAACCCCACGCATGGCTAAAAGACTGGTTTGCATGGACATGCTACAGCCCGAGGTTGTCGGTGGGGACACCAACAAGCAAGGGTACTCAAGCGTGCTGCTTCTTGGAGAGTAACACCTTGAACTTGAGAAATACCTGCTATTTACTTAAACAAGTTAAAACAAACTACACATCACACGCAGAAACAAGACGTACTGTCAGTTGTCATCAATTACGCAAGCTTCACACGCTTACTCGTGACTCCATACTCGCGCATGAATCCACGATATTTTCGAGGGAAGACCCTAATCATACACCATCCAGCACACAGAAGATGAACCCTCCAACAGAACGTCTGCAGAATGAGAACCAACACAGCACAAAACACACGCAACTACAAACTAAATTGACTTAAGTAGCTAGCTCACAGCATGCAAACAGCGCTCAAGCCCTGCACGCAAAAAAACAAAATGACACGCGTATCCAAAGATCGTCCTTAGTCACGCTCTCCGCTCTAGATTGCCTAGCACGCCCAAGCAGCCGATCAAGCGCTGCTAAGCTTGCACTGCTGCATGGCATCAAAATACCATTGGCAAGCGGCCATGTCACCGCTGTTCTTGCTCATGCAGTCGCCAAACGCCTTAACCTGACCAGCGCAGGGACCCTCAGCCGGCGGCGCTGCGGCAGCAACCGGAGCAGCCGGTGCAGGGGCACCCTGGTGCTCGTGGACGACAGTGCGCGGACCAAGCACTGCGTCCACGGCGCGATGGGCGATGGCCGTACCCGTGCCCAGCGCAGCACCTACAGAAGCAGGAAGTCGACCGTGTCCCAAGGTTACGTAATCTTCAGTACAAACATATGGCTTCGGCTGTGACTTGCTTCCTGCAATGGCCATCCATCCCCTCTCCTGGGAGGCAACTTAGTTTGCACCACTAGTTACGAGTCCACGTTCCACGTTGCACCGTCGAACTGCTGGATCGACAGCTGAGCACCACGCCCATATTAAACACCTTATCATATACACCGTGTATCGATGATGAAATACTGTCCAGGCAAAGGGAAAGGTGCTGCTGCTTGTCAACTGTTGGAGCCAAACCAACTCACCCTGAACGACGGTCCCAATCAAGCCCGACATAATGCCGCCTCCGCTGGATGCAGCCACAGGAGGACCTGCCGAAGCTGCAGAGATGTAAAGAGGTCAGCACGTTAAGATCTCCGACAATACGCAGCGGCTCGTCAAGTAAGTTGAAAGAAATAAAGCTTACGTGGGGCAGCCATAGGAGGCGGAGCAGCATGCTGTGGTGCAGCAGGCTGCGGGGCAGGCCTGCTGAACCAGCCTCCCGAGGACTGCGGTGGCGAAGTTGGCGCAGAAGAAGCGGCTGCCGCCGCTGGCGGCGCCGGAGGCGGTGGAGATGAGGATGCTGGCTTCGGCCGCGAAGCCGCAGCCGAAGCAGACCGAGCAGGCGCAGGGGCTGTGGGCAGAGGCGAAGGAACAATCTCGTAAGGCCCCGAGCACTTACAGTTCCAAAGCTTCCGCACAAACCAAACAATTAAAGGCGGAAACCTTTGCAGAAAGGTGCAAAAACAAGCAAGCAAGCTACTGTCGTGTAGATTTATACATAATGCTTACCAGAGCGCTGGCGGGGCATGGTTACACGTGGAGGCCGGTGCTAAGTTGTGTAATGTTAACAGACTTTTACACAAATTAGATGTTGGGTGCGCTATTATCTCGCTGGCAATTGTACGGCAGCAACGTCTTGCCATTCGTTTGCCTTCGAGACCAACCGAGCATTGTCCACTAGGAGCACTTGCTTCCTGCGAAATGATGGTGTGATATAATGATGGCGTAACCTGGGCTCTGCAAGTTTTACCGGAGAGCATAACCATAGTTGACAATACATACAGCGCCGAACTTCAGAATGCGACAACAAAATTACAGTTTCTTTACGAAAAAATGCCATTTGGAACGTATGGACACGCGCTGCAGTTGATATTGGCATCTCAAGTGCAGCATGGCCGAGTTCAGCGAGGGAGAAGCGGAAGTCGAAGGAGAAGAGCTTGAGGGAGAGGATGTGGGGCAGGCTATTAGCCGACCGGTTCCGATTGCACAGGGGCCGCCTCCTGAAAGTGACAAGTAAGCCGCTGCGGTCTCCGACCCGCGTTTTCATGGAATGTGCTGTCCGTAACAGTATAACTTTTCAACTGAAAAGCATGGATGGTCTCACATACGCATACGTCTAACATATCGCAGCAGTAAGAAGAAAGTGAAGGGAAAACGCAAGAAGGCGCCACCAGCAATCCGTATCAACTTAAGCGGCTGCAAGTATGAAGTATGTGAGTTGACTGAAGAGGGTAGGGCTGCCCATGCGTTGCGGAAGGGGGTTCTTTCGGGGTCGGGAGGCAGTCCTCGTGCCTGAGGCCCCTTGCCGTGACCCACTACAGCATAATTGAATGGCACGACTCCTGGGATCTGGGATTTAATTAAAGTAACGTATGGGGTCGCCAAGCTCCTGGAGTGCCTTTCCCTCCCTACGCCGTACGAGAGTAATGGTTTCCTTTTCCATGGTGATGTGGCACACGTGCATTCACTTCCAACAGCGCGAGGTGCTGACCCGCTGAAGTTATCAGTCCGTGTGCATTTTCTATCGTCCGTGAAGGCCAGTTACCATGGTAGCTTTGACCGGGCTTCAACACCACCTAGCGTACTACCCATGGCCCTGGTACAAACGAATGCGGTTTTCACCCGCCTTTTCCTCATCCTTCGCAGTACGCATCGTTCAACGCAAGCTGGGCTGGAAAGAGGTGGGAGACGACGAGGACTGGGAGGTGAGCCTCGTGGGCGTGGGCAGGGCAGCGCAGCGTCCCCACATCCCTTACCAAGAGGCAATGCAATTCGCTCCGTCGCGGCGACAAGGGAAGACACATGGAATGAATCAACGGGCCCCGACATCAACACGGCGAACCCGCCGAAGGGCGCTGCGGCTCGGCTCGGCTCGTTTTGGCCCCACCGTAGTCCACGCCGCTGCTCCCCGCGAGGGAATCCTCCCTTTGCTCACGTGCATGGCATAATCTAACTACCTTACTCTCATGAGGAGGCGCTGTTATCGGGGCGGAACTTCAAGAGTATATAACTCTCATGAGGAGGCGCTGTTATCGGGGCGGAACTTCAAGAGTATATAACTCTCATGAGGAGGCGCTGTTATCGGGGCGGAACTTCAAGAGTATATAGGGAATGTCGAACCCATAACAAAACGCGGGGCCGGAATGGGGACCCATTGCCAGTGCCCATACAAAGCCTTCTTTGCCGAGGTGCTACAGCAAACACACGCACACACACATGCACACTCAAATCTCAATACACACCCTCTCTCTCACACTTAAACACACACGCGCACTCACACACGCTCACTCTATCTCCGTGTACGCGATCCCTCCGCTTCATCCCCCAACTCAGATCTATTGGACCGATACATCAGTAAGCATCGAGAGAATCATGAAGCTCACTAAAATCCAGGTAAGAGTGGCGCGAATGGATGATCCGGGCCGACACCGCCGTGTCGTGGCGCCGCTGAGCTGCGGTTGCAGCGGGGATGGGCTGCAAGTGAGCACACAAGCAGGTGGCGCACGGTCCACCGTGCGCAAAGGGGGGAGCACATGCTCCTCCCCCACACCTCTCATTTGCCTCACCCAATGCCAGCGGGTGAAGCGAACTGCTGCTGGAGTTGCAGGCATTTGGAGCTGCTGGCAGCGTTCTAATTGACACCAGTCACAAAACTGGGTCCTGCTGCCATGGCAGCCCACAGAAGGCACACACCCATATGCATTGTGCTGTGGACGCTATTGTGACACCATTGATAGCCCGCGCGGAGCAGCAGCCAAGCGCGCGGCGCATTGCCGATTGAGGCGTAGGACCAGTGCGGCAACCAGCGGCTCTCCGGCGCTTAGGTGCATGACGGCAGCGAAACCTCATGCGCAAACAGGCGCCGTGGTGTTGGCCGAGCTGGCTCTCCTTCGGGCCGAACAGAAGGGCAGCTCCAAGGCCCTGAGGGGCTGATGGGGGCTATTTCGGCGGCTTTAGGGGCGTGTTCCGTTCCAACCCCTTGGGAATGAAGTGCACTGACCCGGCCGCCGGTGATCCAGGGGCGGCTGCCGTTGCGGGCCACTGACACTCAAAACTGGTCAGCAGCGTGGTGTGTGCAGTCAGAACCATATGTGTGCCGTTATGTCAGCCACTGGGCACGGAGCAGCATGGCAGCAGCACCAGAGAAAGCTGCGGCTTCAGCTGCGGCAACCGCAGTGACGGCGGCGGAGCCGGCCGCTCGGGCACGGCGGTTACGGGCTTTGCTATGCAACAGCGGCGTCGGTTGCAGCTGCAGCAGTAGCAGTAGCAGCAGAGGCCATTTCCGGAGGAGTAGCAGCCGCGGTGGCGGCGGCGGCGGGGCCTGTTGTGCTTTGCTGCCTTGCACCGTCCCCCAAACAGACGACCCCACGCAGCTGGGGCTTCGATTGCACAGGAAACTTGTGCCCTAGAAAAAGAAGCGTACACACATCTCCAGGGGCTCGATGATGTGACTTAACCTCTCGTCTACAGCGCTAACGCTGTAGAACTGCAAGGCGCCGTGGCGTCGGTGATGGCGGCGTTGCTGTTTCACCGCCTGCTGAGCAGCTGAGCCAGCAGGCAAGCAGGCCCATGCGAGTCGACCGGATGTTACGGCAGGCCGCCTTGGTTGGCGTTTGTAGCTTGCAGACGTCCTCCCAGGAGTGGCCGCGCAGGTGGCCTGGGCGACCTGGCTGCATTCAACCCCCCAGCTGGCAGCAGCGGTAGCAGCAACGACGTACCCAGCAAGTCAGTTGTCTGCTGCAACGAAGCAGAAGCAATGAACCTTCCACAGGGGCAGGACCTTCCGCATCAGGAGCCGCGGCTGCGCCAGGGACAGGGCCTTGCATTAGCAGGTTGTGACGGGCCATGGAACCGTGACAAGCACAATCAACAGAACGACCTCGCAGCTATCCTCCGCCGGGCCCCCCCGGGCGCGTTGCCTGGGGCATGTTCCTAATCCGCTCGTTGCTCACGCACCTGCGTGTGTTTGCGGTCTGATGCGGGCCAGGGACGTAGATACTACGGCAGTATTAGCCGTCATCGGGTCGATGGGACTATTTGGGCGTGTGCCCCGCTCTGCGGCTTGCGTGTGGATGTCCTTGGTCGCGGCAAGGCACCCGCTTCATCTGGCCGCGGACAGCCCAGCGCTGGCGCCCAACCGCGCACGTGCCGGCACCTTCAAATAATTCAAACATCAGGACAGCTGCATGCGCCCGACCTGTGCATGGCTCAAACCGTATTTCGGCCTCCACGGCTGCATTGGGCTGTGGATCCGGGCTAAAGAGGCACGGGTTGGGGGGGTTAGTGGTGGCCTGGTAGCAGTAGCCCTGGATGGGCGGCGGCTACCGAAAAGGAGACCGTGCGGAAAAAACCTAGCAGCACCCAACTGTGGAGCTCCAGTGTACCCTAAACCGATCGAAACCTCTTCCCATCCCCTTCCCGTCCCCCTTGACTGGGCCCAATTCACCCTATTCACCAGGACACTTTCGCTGCCTCACAGATAGCCCACTGGTGCGCCTCGATATAGCACATCTGCTTGCACGCCGACCTCCGCATGGCGCCAGCTCATTACCCGTGCCTCGTGGTGGTTATGGCAAATGTCCGGGATGGGGTTTGGGTTTGTGTGATTGCAGCCCCGTCATGTGGGTGAATTTCCCCGTCCCCCCCCCGTCCCCCGCCTGTGCCGGTTCCCCGCGGCCCCGCAGAAAATCAACCACTTCAGCGGCATGCTGGAGATATGCCGCAAGCGGGCCATGGCGCGGAACCTTATGAAAATGGCGCGCCAGTTCCCGCAGCACTATGATTTCTTCCCGCGCACTTTCATCCTGCCGGGCGACAGGGAGGTGCGTTTTGCGTCCGCTCCTCCTTTTGCGCCTTTCCGTCTTTTTTCCTCCACTTCTCTCCTGTGCATTAGAAACTATAGCTCGTGGCGCAATAGAACCTGCGCAGCGGCTCCGCCTGGGCATTAGAGCGTTATATTGCCAGCAGCATTCCTTGCGCGCATCATAGCTCGCGATGCGACCCAGAAGAGAACAGCCCTTTGGCATTGCTGTGGGCGGCCGGAGCGCGGTGTAGAGCAGCCCTGTGGCGCCCCCTCAGGGGCACCTGGCGGTCTCACAGCAACAATATGAACAGGGGTTTTAACGGATTCGGGTCCCCCAGACTCGCAATCCAAGACCTGGAGCAACACCACCCCCTCCGTACGACCGGATACAGGGTTATGCGGGCAGACATAAACGACAGCTCGGACTTGCGTCCTCGTTACGGCATATTGGCAAGCTGCTTGGTACTCGTGGCTGCCTTACCTCTCCCGCCGCTTGCCTGTCTGCCTGCCTCATCCCGCCCGTTGCCTCGTCCCTCCCATGCGTCCCGGATGACAACGACCAGGAGTTTTTGGCGGACATTCGCGCTCGCGGCAAGAAGCAGGTCTACATCCTGAAGCCCGATGCTGGCTGCCAGGGTCGGGGTATCCGGCTGGTGCAAGGCGGCAAGGAGGAGGTCAGTGTGGCGTGTGGTGGGTTGCCATGGGGCCGCGTGGTTGGGCAAGGAGAAGGCAGCTAGGAGGTTGGACTCCGTCCCCTAAAGGGGAAGAAGAAGAGACTTTGGGATGAACTAAAGGGGAACCCTCTTCTTCATCCCCTTTAGTTCCCCTGCCCATCCCCTAAAGGGGAACAAA